GCGGCGGCTGGGATGGTAATGATGGTGGTGGTGATGGTGGTGATAATGCTGATGATGCTGACGATGATGATGATGATGCTGCTGATGATGATGATGATGCTGCTGCTGACGATGATGATGATGATGCTGTTGCTGATGATGATGCTGTTGCTGATGCTGATTCTGCTTACTAGTGTGGTGATGGTGATGGTGATGATGATGATGATGATGGTGGCTCTGATGACGTCATTGATGAGGATTGTTCAGATGCTGCTGCTGCTGCTGCTGCTGCTGCTGATGATGATGATGATGATGATGATGATGATGATGATGATGATGATGATGATGATGCTTGTGTTGATTGCGATGGCGACATTGGTGATGATGAGTTGAAGGAGGATTATGATGATGATGATTACGATAATGGTCGTGGTGATGGTGATAGTGATGGCGGTGATGATGGTGGTGGTTGTGGTGATGATGATGCTGATGATGATGATGGTCATGATCACGATGATGGTGGTGACCATGGTGATTGTGACGGTGATGGTGATGGTGATGGTGGTGATGATGGGAAGGGGGAGGACAGGAGGAGGAGCCGGGGAGGAGCAGGAGGAGGAGGAGGAGGAGGAGGAGCAGCAGCAGGAGACGGAGGAGGAGGAGGAGGAGGAGGAGGAGGAGGAAGAAGGGGCAGGAATAGTAGGTGGTGGTGGTGGTGGTCGGTCGGATGCTGATTTTGATCTTGATGATGATGAAGATGAAGATGAAGATTATGCTGATGATGATGCTGATGATGATGCTGCTGATGATGCTGATGCTGATGCTAATGATGATGATGCTGATGATGATAATGCTGATGATGCCCATGATGCTGATGATGATGATCATTCCGAGTATGATGATGATTATGATGCTGATGATGATGCTGATGCTAATGATGATGATGATGATGATGATGATGATGATGATGATGATGATGATGATGATGATGATGATGATGATGCTGATGATGATGATGATGATGATGATGATGATGATGATGATGATGATGATGATGATGATGATGATGATGATGATGATGCTGCTGCTGCTGCTGATGATGATGATGATGATGATGATGATGATGATGATGATAATAATGATGACGATGGTGATGATGAAGGTAAGTAGGTACGATGAGGATGTTTATGACCCTCGCCGCATGTAATTTCACGACTATGCCCATCGTTCTGGAGAGTTTGCGAAACCTCTGATACCTGCACCTGGCGTACCGAATCTGTTCATTCTGCAGTGCACCAGCGTGCTCACCTATATAGGCGTTGCTTCGGGCATTCGGTGAGGCGCTTCTGACATTCAAAGCTGTTCGAGCCTATTGAGGTCCAGCTTTGTCCTGCGTCGAGTCGGTGCCCACCCGTTGACGCGACGAAGGATCTTGCCAGTGGTCAGGCGGGCTACTTCGACGATGTCTGATAGATTCCACGGTCGCACAGGTCAAGCAGCGCCACTCACTTTAGCGACTGCCGTAACGCTTGTCCAGAGGCGTCGTGCAGAGGGCCGCAGTGAACCCGAGCGGGCATGTCCACCCCTGCGAAGGACGCGCCCGCGCGTATGATTCGGCCATCCCGGGGCCGGGCAACCGCTCCAGGATGCCGAAACTTGTCAAAGGCCATCCGTCGTGATTTCTACACGACGCGAGGGTGTCAAGGTATGACGTCATTCGCGTCCGAGGTTCGTCCGTGCTGGATGGAGGGAATGTTGGCATCGCCCAAGCATGTTCATACGATGACTGCGTCGGCGCTGCATGGCGACGCGTACGCTCAGGGCGGCCGCTTGCTGGCCATACCGCGCGGGCAACGATACGTAGCACCCCGCAAATGCGGATAAGAGTGAGGGGGCGGTGGGGACGTCGGCAGTCTGCGAGACTCTGAAGAAGCCCGCCGCAGGCGCCAAAGTTTCACAAATTATACAACGATTCCGCCGCAGGCGCCGATTTTTCCGTTGAACCAATGTGGCTAGGTCGCGGGTGGGTCGCGGGTGGGTCACAAGTGGGTCGCGGGTGGGTCGCTGTTGGGTCGCGGGTGGGTCGCTGTTGGGTCGCGGGAAGGTCGCGGGTGGGTCGCGGGTGGGTCGTGGGTGGGTCGCGGGTGGGTCGTGGTGTGGGTCGCGCGTGGGTCACAAGTGGGTCGCGGGTAGGTCGCGGGTGTGCCGGGGGTGGGTCGCGAAGGATCGCGGGTCGCGGGGCGGGTCGCGGGTGGGTCGCGGGGTGGGTCGCGGGTGGGTCGGGTTGGGTCGCGGGTTGGGTCACAAGTGGGTCGCGGGTGGGTCGCGGGTGGGTCGCGGGGTGGGTCGCGAAGGATCGCGGGGTGGGTCGCGGGGCGGGTCGCGGGGTGGGTCGCGGGGTGGGTCGGGGGTGGGTCGCGGGGTGGGTCGCGGGTGGGGTCGCGGGTGGGTCGCGGGTGGGTCGCGGGTTGGGTCGCGGGTTGGGTCGCGGGTGGGTCTCGGGGTGGGTCGCGGGGTGGGTCGCGGGGTGGGTCGCGGGGTGGGTCGCGGGGTGGGTCGGCGTTGGGACGACGACAACAAACAAACAAGCAACAACAACGCAACAAACAGAATCTTCACACGGATCCCCACTTCATCCACGCACCCAAGGACAATGACTGACCGTTCGGCCCCTTCACTCTGATTCTATATGGTGCTTGTGCTGCATGTTCGGATCGGACATGCCCTGATATCCGTTTTTTGTATGTAAAATAAGGCAACATTGCGCAACATCACGACTAGAGCCCCAGAACACATCTTTCCGCTGCATTTTCCGAGCCAGATCGATCTGGGATGTTCCCGGGGCTCGAAAATGGGTGAAAACGCTGGGCGTGAAACAAATGTAACGCCCAGATCTCAGGGTGCGTCTCCAGCATGGACATTGTGGACAGCACAACCCACCCCCACCTCCAGTCAGGATCCGCCCCGCCAAAGAACCACCCCCCACCCCTAGCCAGGACCCTCTTGATCACCAGGTCGGGAGTCGGGTGATCCTGGCTGGGGGTGGGGGTGGGTTGTGCTGCCCTCACATCCTGTCCTTCGACCGCGTTCTAGAAAAGCGGGGAAAGCAAAAGGTACCGTATCGCTTTTCCCCAGACCTCTTCGGGGGTGCGTTATGACCAGAGTTTCGAGGCGAATCCAGCCGTGGCGACGAGGGTCTCCCAGGAGGCCCAAGAAGGGAAACACGAGAGAAGGGTAGCGGTATGGGTGCCTTTTCTTTCTCCACAGATTTGGCGTTGGCATGGCGCTTGCCACTGCTGTCGCCGAGCCAGTCCTCGCGGCTGCCTGGGCCACCTGGCGCATGGCGGTGCGCCCAGGGCCCGGCGCCGAGGGAACGCTGCCACGCTCCGTCCTCCTCCTCGGGCCCACGCTTCCGCCCGTGCTCCTCCCTCCTTGCTGTGGTGCTGGCTCGGGCTCAGATCTGCGTTTTTGAAGCGTCCGAGCTCCCTCCTCCTCCTCCTCCGCCTCCTGTTAGCGAGAACGAGAGAACCCCTAACCCTGATAACACCGAAGACGTGGCCTCATTAGATTCTGGTCTCTGCATTCGGGATACACATTATGGGCGGTTGGGTTCGACACATGCCCCTGCTGCTGCTCCTGCGGGTTCTGGCCTGCCCGCCGGCGGGGGCAGAGCACGGGCGCCAGCACCAGGGCGCCTGGTCCCTCGCCCTCTCGGGGCAGCAGCTCACGCCCCTCGGAGGGGGAGGGGGCTGTGTGTGAGGAGGGAAAGAAACACGCAGACACAATTCATCCTCGATTCCCCCGAAAATATAGGAACATATGGGCAGTGGGGGGGAAGACAGAAACCCAGAAAATATGGGAAAATATAGGGGGATCCTTTCATTTGTGTGTATGTCTTTGTGTGTCCCAGGGCCCCTTCAGTGTGTGAAGCCTGGAGGAGGGAGAGCAGCGCTCGTCAGGGGCAGCGCTACGGGGGGGCGCACCGACCCCAACTCGCCCGTGGATCGCCGATCCGGGCCCGACGGCCCGCCCCGCCCACGGGGGGGCGCATCGACCCCCAATCTCCCATTGATCGCCTGCTGTGGTCTGCTGTGGTTCGACAATTTTGTTTGACAGTTCCGCGTCGTGCGAACGTACACGAGGCGAGCCGACAGTCTGTTAGACAATTCTGTCTGACAGTTCCGCGTCGTGTGAACGTTTGTTTCAGGCGTGTGTGCCGAACCTGGCATGCGGGTAAACCCAGCACACTCAGTGCGCGCCCGTGCGCGGTGTTGGCGACTGTGCCCCCTCGGTCCTGCCCACCGGCTCGCAGAGGAAAAACAAAAAAAAATCTCCCATTGATCGCCGATAGGAGACCGCTAGCCCACGCCGCCCAGGCACGTGCGGTTTCGCTGTCGGGGGCCCGTCGCCGATACATCGGCGATGTATCGCCGAGTCCAGGTCGATGTTTTCCGGCCCCGAGCCGGTCCCTCCCCCCCTAGGGTTGCCCATCAGGAGGGCTGGGGTGTCAGAGCAGAGCTCGGGAGGGAAACATCGCAGCAATGACACGCCACCGTCGGGAGGGAAGAGGCAGGGCCTCTCACAAATGGGGCCCGAGCAGGTGGTGCCGGTTGGCGGGGCCGCATCGCCGATGCATCGCCGATTCGACTCGGTGTGTGGCCCGGTCTTCTCCACAACGACGTCGCCGATGCAATGCCGATGCACCGGCGCTGCGGTGCGATCTGTCGACCTCATCTACCCGGACCTCATTTGGGAGGCGTCTAAGACATTGTCGCAATGAGGCGCCGCCGTTGGGCGCCCGTCAACGTGTTGCCTTTGTCTTTATCCGAGGACCTTCGCTATGGTTCAGAGCACGCCGATGTGCTTCCGACGACGGCGTGTCGTTGATGCCGCTGTTGCTCCTCCAAGGGCGTCCTCGGGGCGGAAGCGCACCCGCCTTTCCGGGACAGCAGCTCTCCGGCACTCTTCGGCCCCCTTCAGAGGCCACTGCTCTGTTCTCAGTCCTCCGAGGTTCGGCCGAC